CTCATCTAGCCCCTTTACTCAGGGGCAAACTGCAGTCTGCAATGGCCACTCATCATTGGCTAGGGGGTTGGACCTGTTGCCTTTCCCTGCAGCCCCAGTACCTCCTTAGGTCTTCCTGTTAGGCCTCAGCCTGGGAGGTTGCCAGGCCTGAGCTCCCCAGCTCAGCCTGCCCCTCCCCCAACACTGCTCTGTTGAAGGTACCCTGTGCTCCCAGGCAGCCCGGTCCTTCCCACCCCAAGGCTGGAGTGAGACTGCCGGCCTCCTAGCTCACAGCCCTCTTTATACCAGCCCTACCAGGCCTGGATTGGCTGCTACCTGCCTTCCCCTGATTGGCTCCTCGGGGCAGCCCTTTCCCAGAGCTGATTTTAACCCCTTTCTCTCCGGAGCGGGGTGCTCGCCCCGCTACACCCATGCAGTACTCAGGAGCTCCAGTGGAGCCCACTGTGGCACTTAAGCCCTACCAAACCCGTGGATTTTCTGAGCTTTGACCAAGTTGATGAACTTTACAGGAAAGTTTCTAGGCCAAGACATTTTTTGACTAAAAAAGAATTTTCAAAATAATACTTTTCCCCAAACATCCATATCAGAAAAGTGTTGTCTGATTCAAATTAAAAAAGTCATTAAAATGCTCCATTTGGCCAAAGACTACCCAGGCAAATGTCAAGTATGAAGGGCAGTTTTCACAAAGTGTGAGTATGAGTGCACACAAATGGAAAGCTGGTTTTCATCTTTAACTATGGAGTGAACAGTGTCTCTCCAAAATTTAGAAATTGTGTTAAACATATGATAATCCTGAATATACACCTTACCTTACAGTTTTGGCAACATAATCCAGTACCACACTTTGCTCTTGGCTTAAGTCTACATTTGTTAGTGCAGCATTTATCTTTTGCACACTCCTGAAAATTAAACCATAGACGCATTAGCTATTCTAAAATTTTCCTTCTCTAAAAAGTCTATCTGTCCAAGATTCTCATTCCTTAAGAATAACAACTTGAAAGATCCCCAAAGAAAAATGAGTGTCAAGCAACAACAAGGTTAATACCAACATGAAAACTGTTTATAAATATATGTAAGTCCTTCAGTGACTTTCCCAAATTTCAGTTGGGTACTAACTCTCAAAGCACCATTCTTCTAAACTGAGAACAGTGGAATTTTACACTACTTAGGCTTTCTGGTATTGAGTACTAACCTGTGCTGAGCCACAGTCACACTGCTCTCCTCCTTCCACAATACGATTGCCACAGACTGAAGCCCTCTTGTAGGACGTATTCAAATAGGGCCTGTTAGAGAGGCAGTCTCCTCCCCTATGTTTTATAAAACTTTTGAAGTCTCTAATGCTGCAGCTGCTAAAGGCTTTTACTCCATTGGAAAGTCTAAAAATAAATTATCAATGAAAAATTATACCAATTGAAGATATTTAACAATCCTGGAGTACTTAGTATCATTAATGCTACTTTCCAAAATATTCAGCTGAGGGTCTTTCAGTTCATTTTGTAAAACTGCATTCAAATAATGTCTTAAGAATAGAAATTAGCAACTAGAATGTCATCCTTTTGTTTTATTATTGAGAAAGATATTAATATTCCTTTATCAGAGATATCCACTAACTTAATTGTGCCTTTATCTTCCCGGAGGTAAAACATGGAATATCTAAATATGTTAGGGTTATTAACGGATAATGGAAATACATTTTCATTTATTTTCTTATAAACTAAAACTTTATGTGAAATATTAACAAAATCACATCACTGGATTATTTATAATGGCCTTAGTTTCCTTTAAATCACATATACACAAAACATTACATAAATAATAAAGAGTTACAATATCCTGAGCCATTTTATCAATACACAGATCAAATCTCCCTGTACCTGAGAAAAATAAATTGAAGTTGAACAATCTCACTGTAGAGCTAGATTCTGATGATAGTTTTTGTAACACGGACATCTGTCCATTAAAAACTAGAAAAGATATGCCATACCTCAAACAGAAGTTATTTATTTGATGAACAAATTACCAGGTGAGGTTCTATGGCCTGTGTTATGCAGAACGCCAGAACAGATGAGCATAATATAGTTCCTTTTGGATTTATGAACTCATTTCATATAAATTAGTTGCCACCAGCTACTAATGATTATTAGGCCCCAATACTGAAAACACTTCAGTGTGTGAACAGTTTCACTGAGTTAGTCACAGGCATCTGTTTCCATAGGGTCCCTTGGCTGGATTTGACTGAGTGACAGCAGGGTTAAATGATCCTATTGACAGTCCCCTGAGCCACTGGTTAGTTTATTAGCTTGTGAACACTTTCAGAAGATTTCTGGAGCAGTACAGAGTAGCTCATTTTTAGCTTGGCTTGATCTTATCTGAATTGACTATATATATATATATATATATATATATAGAAAATACAATTTGAGGCTTAGTCATATGACCTTGAATGTTTTATCCAAAAAATAATTAAAAGCAGTTTCCTGGAAAAAGAGCAAAGTAATGCCCAGTGAATGCCACGGGACAAATTTTGCATTGTTACATGCATGCAATCCCACAGATTTCAGTGAGATTGCTCCCTTATTGCAGACTTTGTCCAACAGAGTTTAGACTCTTTCCACCACTTTCAACGGTCTAAAGGATTTTAAGCACATGACGGCCAGTAACTGTAATGATCATGCCTAGGGTGACCAGACAGCAAATGTGAAAAATCGGGACAGGGGGGCGGGGGTAATAGGAGCCTATATAAGAAAAAGACCCCAAAATCGGGACTGTCCCTATAAAATCGGGATATCTGGTCACCCTAATCGTGCCACACTTTGAAAATTAACCCTTTCCATGCAGAATCACACAAACAAAAAACTAATTAAATAAAGCATTACAAAAAATATGAACAAGCCAACAGTGAATTCTGTTCCACTCTAAGCTCATTAATACATGGAAAAGGTAACAAAAATCTATAATCAAAGCCTACTATGAATCTTACAATATAAACATGAATAATGTATACTTGCATGCAGATGTGAAAAATTATTTTCAGATATGTTCTTTAGAAATTAGTTATTTTTTTTGGTATACATAACTAGCACCCAAGACTTCCATTGACAACAGGCTAATTTGAGGGTTCTCATACTTCACAGGGGGCACTCAGCACTTCACACAACCACTTAAATCATAATCCATGGTCATTTATAATGATTGAACTTGCATGCCACAGGAAAACAGTTCTCAATAATAATTCAATGTTACATGAGGTATATAAATATAAAAATCTTACACTGCTTTGGTGTGCATTATGCAGGTGTATCCTGAACACTGACAGTCCCTAGAATCATCATATGCTATTCCCAGACTAAGCCCCAGCAGCTGTGCAATGATGACTGAAAATGTCTCCAGTGTTACAGCCCTTTGATACTAAATAAGAAAAAACCTGAAAATTGTCATCAAAGTAACTCAGTTAAAGAAACAAAAACGATGATAAAATTCTAAACCTTTCGGTTTCCTGCCCAGTGTAGTCAGGTCGTATTTTATACAAATTTCTGTACTTTTATGTAAAGAACCTTAAGACGCTTGTCTTCAATACAAGGCCAAAGTTCATGTTGACTTACATTCTGGAAAACTCAAATGAGAGCAATGAAGATGCACAGGATGTGAAAAACAGTGCAGAACTTGACATGCAATATGTAAAAGAAATGCATATTGTATTGCATATGGTAACTGTTCTTAAGATTCAATCCTGCAAAGTGCTAACTTCTGCCCTTGATGTAGCAAAACATTTAAAATTGTGCTTAACCTTAATTCATGATCAGTCCCAAGTTAATGGGACTACTCACATAGTTATAGATAAGCATGCTTAACTGCTTTGCTGGAATAGTGCCAGAATACTCAGCACCTTCCGAATTACAGCTCTAAAGTACCTTAAAGGGCTAGGAGGAGACTACAGAGCAAGTAAAACCCTAAAATTCAAAGTTCTACTGCAAGATATACTTATGCACTTTAGGCCAAATTTTTCTAACCAAGTGCCTAAAGTCAAGAATCCAAATCCATATTTAACGCATCTAAATACAAATGAGCTCTTTCTTCACCGATGCTGAGCAGCCACCACCACTCCTTCTGAAGCCAGTGTTACAATGTTCACTAGCAGTGTAAATCCAATAATACTATACCAAGGCAACTCCTCCTGCATAGTTTCTGAGACAAATCCTTCCTGCAAATGTTGCCCCTACATAACTAGGGTGGTCCCTGTAACTAAAACACAAAAACAGACTCTTGAATACAACTATGTTCTTCGTAGCAGTGTTTAAAATGACAATGTTGTTTGTTTTTTATAGTTTAACTTTTACTTTCTATTGTTTACAATATAAACACTCTGAGAAATCTGAAAATATTTTGTAAACACAGTACATCTAGAATTATATTTATAATAATTCATAGTGTCTGTTCTATTATTTTTACAAGAGATGTTTGTTGGTCTTGTGGAATTGTGTTGGTCCACGCTATGACAGTCTAAACGATTTCCAGTGTGCTTTTTTAATAATAGAGAAATGTTCTTCTTACACAAATAAATATGCCATATCATGTGGCCGTAGAACAAGGTAAGATTCTTTCCATTGTAAAAATCTTTGTAGTATCTCATCAGCTTCCCCTGTTGTACGAATTTTATTATTATCTGTCCAAAACTCCAAGGAAGACAGTACAATTGTCATATTAAGGGGGGTAAACATCTGAAAATACAACAGAAGAAACAGATGTTCAATTATGTTTTATGCATAGCAGTATTTTAATTTTATAAAGATTAAGCTAAAGGCCCAACTGAGCAAAATGGACATCATATAACAGCACTTGGTTGCGGGGGCACTTCTCTCCAACATCTGTAAAACTAAAAGAGGAATGAGGAAAGAAAAATACAAACAAAATACATAGTGCTTGCCCAGCAGACCAAACCCAATGGTTCTGAGAGGAGGGGTTTCTGTAAATAAAAAGAGGATTCATAAGTATTGCATATATTCAAATCAATAACAGGTTATAAGCCCTAACCCTGATCATGTCCACAACACTACAATTTCAGAGGCAAACAAAAATTTTCCATTTTTTTTTTTTTTTTAGTACAAAAGGCTGAATGAGAATAGAAAATTTTTGATAGGGAAAAAATGGATTTTCTGATTGGCAGCTGTTTAATGAGCCTAGAGATGCACCAATACAGCAATCTCTTCAAAGTTCCTCCTCCTTTGTGAGACATAAGGAAGAAATGGAAAATTGGAAGCACCGAGGAGCAACCCTTGCTGGCGTCAACAGGTTTAGAGATATCAGGGCTCTGGACAAGTGATTACAGAGTGGAGATCTGTTACAGTTTGTATCTCTGGAGAAAAGCAGACACCTAGAATCAAAATGACTTATGGCAAACAGAAAACAGATAATAAAACTAGACAAAAAACTTTATAAAAGTAAAATATTAATTAGAAACCAAAAACAAAAGAACCAAGAGTCAAAACAAATGCTAAAAGAGGAATAAAACAATTTTAGGGCTTGTCTACATGGGAACATTTTCCAGTTATACTGTTATAATTATATTGGTATAGTTAACAGTATAATAACCCTGTGTGGACACTCATATCCTGGAATAAGGGTGGCTTTTTTCAGTTTAGCTTAAACTGCTAATAAACTAAACCAGAAAAAGGGACTCTTATACCAGAATAAGAGTGTCCACGTGGGGTGTGTGTGTTACACTGGCATAACTTAGGCTAGGTCTACACTACCCGCCTGAATCGGCGGGTAGAAATCGATCTCTCGGGGATTGAATTATCGCGTCTCGTCGGGACGCAACAATCGATCCCCGAATCGACGCTCTTACTGCACCAGCGGAGGTGGGAGTAAGCGCCGTCGACGGGGAGCCGCGGAGGTCGATTTTGCTGCCGTCCTCACAGCGGGGTAAGTCGGCTCTGATACGTCGAATTCAGCTATGCTATTCGCGTAGCTGAATTTGCGTATCTTAAATCGACCTCCCTCCCCCTGTAGTGAAGACCTGCCCTTAGTGGTTTATAGTCACATGCCACCTTATACTGATATAACTGCCCCATGTAGACAGGCAGACAGATTTTCACTTTCCTGAAAATGGACAAAAACTGGGGATGGTATACTGCAGAGTTCTTACACTCTCAGATGGATGAGAGCACCATGGTCTGTGGGTGGAATCTAGGGTTGATTATGATTGGCTAACATTGTGAAAGAGGCTAAACCTGCCTACACTAGGTGCTAATGTGTTTTTAAACATCACTGAATTAAAACATGTTACGTAACATATCTGTCTGAGGCAACAAGTTTAAAAACCCCACCTTTTTAACAGGTCTAGATAAGACTTCAGAGAAATACTACACAAGCTTGAGGTGAAGCACTTAAACGTTTTTTCTCTAATTGCTATAAAGATCTCCTTGCTGTCATGAGCCAAAAACTTGAGAGCCAAGAGTTAAAATCAAAACTAAACAATTCCCCGGAAAAAATGAGAAAATCTAGAAAATCTTTGACCTTTAATAATATCAAAGTAAAACATCCAAATTTCATTTCAATATGAAACAAAAAAGGCAGTAACTTACACTGTTGACAAATCCAAGAAGCTGGACTATTTTCTCTGTTATAAGATCCTTGTCTGAACCCAGATAGTTGTACTGGAAAATAACACAATTCTTTAAGTAACAGCTAAAAATCATTACAGTACAACATTTTTTTGGTCAGTCATTTCCCTGATGAAGCAGTGGAATGTTCACATGAGCCTCAAATTCTGAGCATTCAAATGTGTCTAATTATTTTAATTCTCAGTTTCCTTCCAAGTCCATAAACAAAATATGCATTGATCCTTTGACAAAATGGCTACTATATATCTGATAATTCCAGATTCCATTATTTTAACTGACATCCATGATTTCTTTGGCTTCAGCCCGCCACAGCAGTAGGGCTGGAGTAGCTGTCAGCCACTGCCCAGGAACAACGGCAGGAGAGTGGCCTGGGGATGGAGCAGTCCCCAGGGCCAGAGCAGCAGCCTGGGGCCGGAGCAGTGGCCACTGCCACTGAAGAAGTGGCCTCAGGAGCAGCAGCTGGGGCTGGATTAGCGACCAGGCTGGGTAAGCCCCACTGCAGGAGCAGCAGCTGGGGCTCTGACTGTCCTCCCCATCCCGGCAAGGGTATTTTTAGTAAAAGTCAAGGACAAGTCACAGGCTTAC